AAAAAAAAAAAAAAAGAAAGAAAAGAAACCAACTCCAATACTGGCTTTTACATAGGAAAATGTAAAAGACAAACAGTAATACTGGCTATTATATTTCCCTATGTAGTGAACTTTACCAGTGTTCTTCGTTTCTTCATGTGGCATTTGTTACTATCTGTTGTCCTTTCATTTCAGCCTGAAAGACTCCTTTCACACATTTTTTAGGGCAGGTCTAGGTCCCTTAGTGTTTTTTATTTTTATTTATTTATTTATTTTAAATATATGAATGCATTAATTTATCCTCATTCGTAAAGCATAGTTTTGCCAAATACCGAATTCTTGGTTGACAGTTGTTTTCTCTTAGCATTTAAAAAATATCAACTCACTGTCTTTTTAGCTTCCAAAATTTCTACTGAGAAACTGGCTGATAGTCTTATTGAGGATCCCTTGTATGTGATGACTTGCTTCTCTGCTACCAAGATTCTCACTGTCTCTTGCCTTTCAGTAGTTTTTGATGTATCCCCATGTGGGTGTCTTTGAGTTTATACTTGGAGTTTGTTGGTCTTAAATATATCAATTCATGTATTTCAACAAATTTGGGAAAATTTCAGCCATTATTGCTTAAAATAATCTTTATGCTTATTTTCTGTCTCTTTTCTGTTAAGATGCACACATGTATGTTGGTCTGCTTGATATCATCCCATAGACTCATTAGGCATTATTTATTTATTGTTTCATTCTTTTTTTTTTTCTGTTCCTCAGATTTGATCATTGCAGTTTTCCTATTTTCAAGGTTGCTGATTTTTCTGCTTCCTCAAATCTGCTTTTGAAATTCTCCAATGTATTATTTTATTTCAGTTACTGTAGTTTTTAGTTCCTCTGGTGTGTTTTACTCATACCACTTCCAGCATGAAATGTAGCAGGGTCCCCCACAAATAATTCTCCAACTTCCTGGACACCGACTGGGTGTTATACAGTTCATTTCAATTCTGACACTAACTACTGGAGTTAGGGAAGACCCCTCTATGGCAGACTACTTCGTACACACTAAGGTGGTTATAATAAATAAGCTGGTGAGGATGAGAACCCTGCGAATTGCCATTGAGAATGTAAATGGCACAGCCACTTTGAAAAGCAATCTGGTGGATCCTCAAAAGGTTAAATATAAAGTTAGCAATTCTACTTCTAGATATATACCCAAGAGAATTCAAAACACGTATAGGAATGGCATAGAAACGTTACTCACAATAACCCCAAAATGGAAACAATCTAAATGTCATCAGTTGATGAATAGATAACCAAAAGTGATATATCTATACAGTGGAATATTATTCAGCCATAAATGAAATGAAATGAAGTACCAATATGTTCTACAACATGGATGAAAACATCATGCTAGGGGAAAGAAACCAGTGCAAAAAGTCACAGAGACAGAACACAGATTGTTGTTTACCAGAGCCTGGGATGGGGGATAGGGAGTAACTGTGAATAGATATGGGTTTATTGTGGAGTGATGAAAATGTTTTGAATTAGGTAGTGGTGATGGTTACACAACTCTTTGATGCTTATCCTATAGTTCTCCTGAGCAGCTCTCTCCCAGGCGATGACTATGGACCTGGGCTGTTTTCATTAGGGGCTACATAATTTCAGAAACCTTTACCTCTAGTTGTGGGGATCAGAAAGACAGTGTGAAAGATCACATGGGGCATTTTAGGGATGAGTCATCTAAATGTATATATCACTTTCACTCATGTGCCATGGGCTGTAATCTAGTCTTATGATCCTAATCCAACTGTGAGACAAGCTGGCAAATGTAGTCTGCCAAGTAAATGTAGCTTCCTCAGAAGAGAAAGCTATAATGATGATCACCCTACCTGTCTGTACCGTAGAGATTAAAGAGAGATGCCATAAATAGAAATTCTTTTATTTGCATATTCCACATCAAAATCACAAATTTAGGTGCCACCAAATTATGGCATTATTTTCACTTCTGTACCTGAACCTGTAATGTTTAAAAATACTACTTGTTCTTAAGAAATTCTGTACTTATCTCATTAGTACTGATTTAAAGCAAATTCCTCATTTAAAGTAAAAACAAAACAGCAAGAAAATATTTTTTAAAAACTAGTGGTAAGCTAAAGTAATGGAACTTTTCTTACTTGATAAAAATTTTAACAAACATTAAAAGTTATTATTATGAGAAAAAGATGAATTGTTCACTATCATCTGTTTTTTTCTTTGGTGGTAGCGGGGAACAGAGTCTCGCTCTGTGGCCCTGGCTGAAGTGCAGTGGCCTAATCTCAGCTCACTGCAGCCTCTGTCTTCTGGATTCAAGCAATTCTCCTGCCTCAGCCTCCTGAGTAGCTGGGACTGCAGGTGCATGCTACCACGCCTGGCTAATTTTTGTATTTTTTGATAGAGACAGAATTTTACCTTGTTGGCCAGGCTGGTCTCAAACTCCTGACCTCAAGTGATCTGCCTGCCTTGGCCTCCCAGAGTGCTGGGATCACAGGCTTGAGCCGCCACGTCCCGCCTCACCTCTGTTATTAAACATCATACTATAGGTCCTAGCCAGTGCCTTAGGACAAAAAAAAAAAAAAAAAAAAAAAAAGATGTAATATTCAGAAAAGAAGAAACAAAGGTTATTGTGTAGATGATTTGCTATAAAATAACAAGTGAGTCAGCTCAGAAGCTCTTCTACCTAAAAGGATGAAGAAATTTTTACATAGCAATAAACAAATCTGTAGTATATTGTTTGTGGCATATAATACTAAATTGGCTTTTTTGACATATGCTCCCCTTTCCCTTGGGGTATTCCAGTACCTTGGAAGCTAAAAAACTAAAATGATATTTCTCAGACTTTATTGCAGTAAAGGTAAATAATGTGATTTAGACATTCACCAGGGATGTGAATTCAGAACTAAATTAAGTGCGGAAAGAAGTAGAAACACACAAAGCATCCATTTAGCTGGTACTAATCTAGAATTTGCATCATGGTTTTGGAGCCATTATTCTTTTTTTATTTTATAATTTCAACTTTTATTGTAGATTCAGGGGATGCACACGAAGGTTTGTTACATGGGTACATTGCATGATGCTGAGGTTTGGGGTATGATTGATCTGATCATCCAGGTATGGAGTATAGTATCCAGTGAAGCCATTATTTTGGCAACAATTTCTCATCCTCAGATTATTACTAAGAAGATAGGTTTCTAGAGACAAAAGTTGTTACACTGGCTTTCTGATTCTCAGAATCGTTTGGTACTAGAGCCAACAATGAAGTCGTAGTTCCAGACTCCCTAGTTTCCAGATTGTGGTAGAGCCTTGGCAGACCAGTTTTGCATGTTGTTCTAGGAGTCATTCCTGGTAACCAGGTCTAGAGCCGGCTCCTTCTGTCTTTTCATTGGATTGGTAAAGCATTTAATTTTCCAAATTAAGCTCCTGTCTGCTTAAAATAGCTAGGGAGCTTTCTGTTTATATAACTGAATCCCAACTGATAGGATTGTTAGGTGAAAAATGCAGGCCATTGAACACTGTGTGAACTCCTGATGGCAAAACTAGCCCATGTGTTTACTGTTCTCCCCTGCCCAATTCCATTGAAGTAACAAAGACAAATGAGAAGAAGGAAGAAGTGGAAGAGGGGAGGAGGAAGAGAAGTCGTTGATAGTTGTACCATTAATTAGAGCACAGTGTCATCAGTGGGACAAAAATATTTTGAAATTTCTGAAAGATATTAAGCCGGTAAGATCAAATTGAGGGAAATTAGATACTTGGTGCAAACAAAGTAAGGCTCTCAGAAGAATTGTGGAGTAACTTTAGGTTGCAAATACCTGGGCCAGTGGAGAAAAATTGAAAGATTTCAATTTGAAAACTATGAGAGGTCCCCCAGCCTTGAGTTACTGTCCCAAGTAGCCTTGGGTTACTATCCTTGGCATTCTCCCCTAGGTTTGATTTTGCTTGGATTACTAGTTGTGTAAAGTAAGAGGTTTTACTTGATATGTTTCTAGCATGTGAAATAAGGTCAGAATGTTTTAAAATATACCCAGGTTTTGTTTTTATTCAAGTGTGTCAGGAGACAGTTGCTATAGAAAGGACTGTTGGTTACTCACAGTTTCCAACTGTGGGGTGCATGCCACATCATGCCACACTGAGGCCATGCAGTGAAGCACCTGAATTGATCAGGAATCAGAAGGAGCAAGGGAAAAGCATGAGCATAATGCTTTTATTGTGGTTTGTATGGGAAAAGCAAGACAAGGCAGGGTAAACAAAATTAGGATTGGCTAGTTTCAATAATTTTGGTGGGCTCTAGGATATAGGGGCTATCTCCAGTTGTTTGGTACCTGGTCCTGGGATGATTACAGCAGGGAATAGTGGCTCAGTCTGATAAATGAGGTGATTGATGGTATGAGCCCTAGATTGGTTGGTTTGTGTTTGAAGAGTGTTTGCTCTCTCCTGGAGTTTGCTAGCCCTGGGAGGGGCAGACTCTACAGAATCAGCAATGTGCCAGATGGCAGAGCATCGAGAATACATAAAATAAGAAAATATAGTTAATACACAGAGAAAGAAAGACAGTAAATACTCCCAGCAAACTTAGAGGTATAGAATCATTAAATGTTAATAAACTTGCAGACATGTCAGAAACCATTTAGATTTGCTTCATGAATCCAGGTGTTCAACAGCAAAATTGTCAAAGTATATAAATGTTGAGAGAATTGGTTTTTTAAACAAAGTTTTGAGGTTCTCTATGGATAGATAAATAGGTAAACATTTATTGAATGCTCACAGTGTGTCAGACACCCTGCTAAAAAATTTACATGTATTATTTATTTCCCAATAATCCTTTGTAAGTAGTTATTAGTATTCCCATGTACAGTTAGGGAAACTGAAGTATAGAGAGATTAAATAACTTGCCCAAGTTTATGCTATTAAGAAGTACTGGAACTGGCATTTAAACCCAGTTTAGTTTGACCTTATAATCCAAACCCATAATCTACTACCTCTCTGTCTATAATAAATCTATGTATATAACAAGTAATTACAAATATCCACAAAGTCTTCAAAGTAAAGATCATCTTAGCATGATGGTTACTAACATTTAAATGGGGATAGTAATAATACTTGCTTTGTAACATTTTTACAAGGATTAAGTTCATTAATGTTATATATTTAAAATACTGCCTGGCAACATAGCAAGCACTTGGTAAATGTTGGATATCATTATTCTCCTTAATGAAGTATTCAGCCTGTACATGAGAATTTGTTGGCACAACATCTAGATAAACTCTCTATAGCTATGATTTAAACCTAGTCTTAAATACAAACAAATTTAAAAGTTGATACCAAACTTCTTATACTTTCCAATATCCATAACACAAATTTGCATATAAAAAGAGAAATTGGCTTTATAAGATCATTCATAGTTATCTCATCATTTAAAGTGTTTGATAGTGCTCGCTTCGGCAGCACATATACTAAAATTAAAGTGTTTGATATGTATAGGCATTATATTCATTGCCCTAAATTGTTACTACATATGAGAATGACCTTAAGAATATGAGAATATTTTTAAGTAATTAAATTTCATGTTTTAATTAGAAAGAAGCGGTTACAGGAATGGAGAGCTCTTAAGAAAAAACAAAAATTTGGAGAATTAAGAGAAATTTCTGGAAATCAGTATGTAAATGAAGTCACAAATGCAGAAAAAGATGTGTGGGTTATAATTCATCTATACAGATCAAGGTAATTACCATAGTATTTCAAAATGTTAATATACTACTATTTTAAAAGACATATGTTTGGTTTTAAGGTTTTACAAAGTATATAACAGTACACAAGAAAAAGAAACTATGTATTACATATGCATACATCCATAGAGTTTTTGATAGTCATTGGCTTCAGGAATTTAATTAGGTATTTTAAGATCTTTTCATTTCAAATATAAGGAAGTTGTCACACTTTTGAGAAAAATAAGCATTCTTTCATAGTTTAAAAACTTTTTATTGTAGAAAATCTCAAAAATACAGAGAAGTAGAAAGAATGAGAAAATGAGCACTCTAAAATATCAACCAGATAGCTTCAACAAGTAACATTTTGCCATATTTATATAATTGTTTCTGTGTGTGTGTATATTTGCATTTGTAGAACCATTTCAAAGTAAACTGAATATAGCATCATGATTTATTCCTGTGTACTTCAGCGTGCACCTTCAAAACATAAAGGTGTTGGAAAGAAAAAGAATTCTATCTTCTCTACCCATTTTAAGTTTATTGGCTTGGCCCTGCAAATTAGACTGACAAAAGACAGGTTAACAAGAGAAAAACAAACAGAAGTCTATTAACAAATGCATTACACATACACATGGGAGAGTTCAGTGATAAGTAATTTAAAGGAGTGGTTAGAACTTAGGCTTATATGGCATCTTAAAAGGACAGCAAATTTGTAGTGAAGTGACAAGACAACAGAAAGGGTCTTTGAGATTCTAGGAGTAACAAACTGTGGAATGGTAAATACATGGGTGAAACGAATGGAAATTGAATGTTATTTTAGCAAGGTTTGTTATATAGATTCCTCTGGTGCCTCACTGGGAGAGTAAGAATCTAGAACTTTATCCAGTGATTAGCAGTGTCCTGCCCTTCCTGGGAGAGACAGGAGTGAGGTTGTTACTGTGTGGAGAAGATTTTTCTTGTGTCTGTTTCTTTTCAGTTACCTTTAGCTCAAAATAATCCTTATTCCAGAGTGGCGTATTTTGGTGCGGCATACTATGAATCCCTTCAAGAGCATTCTTCTACATAACCACAATACCATTTTCTCACCTAACAAAATTAACACTAATTCCTCATAACATCTAATACCACATCCTTACTCAGATTTTCCCAACTGATGTAAAAATATCTTTTATAAATACATACGTTTTTGGACAAGGAGCCAATCAAGAATTACGCAGCACATTTAGATGTATCATCTCTTTTAAGTCTCTTCTAATAGAACAATTCCCCTGCACCTTTGCACCCCTGCACTCCCCCATTCCTCTAAGATAGTTAATTTTAAAATGCCTAGTTGTACTAAGTATAAGCCACTGTCCCTAGGCCTCAGCAGTCTTGCCTAGTAGTTGGGGAAAGTAGACTTTTCCCCAACTCTGTTTCTCTCATTCAAATAGTCCTTCTAGCTTTAGGTCCCTACTCCTCTGCCTCAGGGCTATAACCATTCCAGGGACAGAGGCCATGACAGCAACCTCATTGTCCTTATCTCAATCTCTAAATAATAAACTTTTTTCTCTTTAGGTCCTTGGGGAAATTATGAACAGAGCAATTTATGCAAATTATAGCCCTGTATATAGCACTGTGTAGCCTGTACAGGGCTATAATTTGCAGTTCCTGAGTCAAATTTTGATAGGACAACATGCCCCATAAAAGAAAATGCCCCAGAAAAGTTATTTCATTATAACTAAAAGTCTTGGTTGATTAATTTTTAAGTACCTTTAAAGTCTTAAAAAGAATGTGTTGACCTAAAAGGAAGAGACTGGGCACAAAGTATAATTTAAAGAGTTTACTTAAGCCAAAGTGAGGATAGGTGCCCAGAAGACTAAACCTAAGTAACCTTGGATATAACCTCCCTTTAGCCTTTGTTATGAGCAGGTTTGTGAAGACATCAAAGGAGGACAGGGAGTGGACTGATACAAAGTTGTTTGTCAGGAATTCTCAATGGCTTAAGGAAATAACCTTAGTGATTGGCTATACATTGTTAATCTATAAAAGTTACAGTGTCTGATGTATTATTGGGTTAATTTATAGCTACTTGGAAGCAATAGCAAGCAGTTTCAAGAGATGAATACATAGGTCAAGGAGGGTGTAGGTTGTAATTCTCTCTTTTTTTGGGGGGGACAGGGGCTCACTGTGTCTCCCAAGCTGGAGTGCAGTGACGATCATAGCTCACTGCAGCCTTGAATGCATGGGCTCCAGCAATGATCCTCTTGCTTCAGTCCTCCAAGTAGCTTGGACTACAGGCCTGCATACCATATTCGGCTAATTTTTAAAATTTTTTTGTAGAAATAGGGTCTTGCTCTGTTGCCCAGACCAGTCTTGAACTCCTGGCCTCAAGCAATCCTCCTGCCTCAGCCTCCCAAATTATTGAGATTACAGGCGTGAACCACTGTGCCTAGCCTGCTGTCTCATTTTAATGACTCTGTGGGTGTAAACATTTAAAGGGACTTGCATTCTTCAGATAAAAGTTATTTCCTCAAATCACACTTCCATATTACGTCTACTATTTATTTAGTTAACCAGTTTGTAAATGCTCCTTGTAAGTCTCACAAATAAGGATGAGAAACACTGACATTTACAAAAGTTTTGTTTGTGGTAAATATTATATACTGAAGTGGTTCACTGAATGTTTTTTCTGACCCTTTGTGGTTTGCAGAGTAGATATTGCTTCTAAGTAAAATTATCTGCTTTAATGGTTATTTTTTCCAGATAAATTACTAGCTTTTAGAAATCTTAAAAAATCATAAAGAGGTTGAATGTATTTTAGTCTGCTTCAAATTGTCATATGCTTTGATAGACTCAGAAAGAAGGATGTGGTTTCATAATATTTTAAGTATTTGTGACCTTCTTAGAAGGTTTTTTTGGGCTACTCTAAAGTAGTTATATATTAGTTTTCTGGATATTAAGAAAATATATTCCTGTGTTTGTATAAAACATATATTTAAAAAATTAATCTGTAATAATCCAAATTTATAAAATACAACAGAAAATAATTGTGTTACAAATATTCTTTAGAAAACTAGTTTTTAGCAATGGATTTACTGGCCGGGTGTGGTGGCTCATGCCTGTAATCCCAGGACTTTGGGAGGCCAAGGCAGGCAGACCACCTGAGATCAGGAGTTTGAGACCAGCCTGGCCAACATGACAAAACTCTGTCTCTACTAAAAGTACAAAAAAATTAGATGGGCATGGTGGTGTTTCCCTATAATCCCAGCTACTTGGGAGGCTGAGACAGGAGAATCACTTGAACCCAAGAGACAGAGGTTACAGTGAGCCAAGATCATGTCACTGCACTCCAGCCTGGGCAACAGAGCAGGACTCGGTCTCAATAAAAACAAAAACAAAAAAACAAAAAACAATGGATTTACTTACAGCTTTTAATATTGCAAAGTTGAAGGATAACTGTCAATTTATGTTTTTGTAACTACCCAGCAGGTTTTGGCCTTCCCTCCACATAGATCCAATTTATCAAGACAGTGGAATTACAATAAAGAGTTTAATTCACACAAAGTCAACTAAACAGGAAACCAGAGTTTTATTACTCAGATTAGCCTCCGCCAAAATTTAGGGGTTGGGGTTTTTCAAGGATAGTTTGCCAGACCATAGAATGGGCAATGCTAATTGGTTGGGAATACAGTCATAGGGATATGGAAAATGGTCCTTGATATGGTTTGGCTATGTCCCCACTCAAATCTCATCTTGAACTGTAGAGGGACCCAGTGGGAGGTAATTTAATCATGGGGACAGTTACCCTTATTCTGTTCTTGTGATAATGAGTGATTTCTCATGAGATCTGATGGTTTTATAAGGGGCTTTCCCTCTTTTGCTCAGCATTTCTCCCTGCTGCTGCCAAGTGAAGAAGAATGTATTTGTGTTTGCTTCCCCTTCTACCATGATTGTAAGTTTCCTGAGGCCTCCCCAGCCATACTGAACTGTGAGTCAGTTAAACCTCTTTCCTTTATAATTACCCAGTCTTGGGTATGTCTTTATTAGCAGCATGAGAATGGACTAAAACAGTCCTTATGAGTGCTAAGTCTACTTCTGTGTGGGGCCACAGGACTTCTTGGTGGGTCCAGGTAGAGGCATCAGTCATCAGAAATGCAAAAACCCAAAAAGGTATATCAAAAAGGCCAATCTCAGGTTCTATAATAGTGATGTTATCTGCAGGAGTAATTGAGGAAGTTGCAAATCTTATGACCTCCAGAATAATGGCTGGTATTGTTTAAGTGTATATCTTAGCAGAATTCAGGCTCCTCTCATCCTCCTAACCTAATCTTCCTTTAGCTTTACAAATGTGGTTTAGTTTTGGGGAAAGGCTATTATCATTTAAATTATAAACTGAATTTCTCCCAAAGTTAGCTTAGCCCAAGCCCAGGAATGATTCAAAGCAGTTTAGAGGTTAAAGGGAAGTTAGGGGTTGGTTAGATCAGATCTCTTTCGCTATCATAATTCTCTCACTGTTAAACAATTTTTTGCAAAGGTGGTTTCGTTTTTGGCTACTTTCTATCAATTTTATAAAAGAGTGGTGTTTGTTTTTTGATTAGGCTCCTAAGTTCTATAATTTCAATGGCTCTTTGCCATTAAATTGATAGGATTAGACCCACTTTTTATACAAATGAAGACTTAGCCTCCTTAAGGTGCCTTAGATGGATCTAACTCAACATGGGCCATTAAGCCTAATGACTTAGCTTGTAGTCAGTCTTGTTTCTGGTTTTATTTAATCTTATACCTGTACCCCAATTCTAATTTGGGGCTTTTATATTATCCCTATACCCAAGTACATATTTTGAATCTTGAATACCATAAATAGGTTCTTAACTTGTTTTGTGATATTAGAGGTCTGCCTCATATTTTATAGCTCTTCTCAGGTTAAAATTATGTCCCTGAACTCCCCCCAAATTTGTTCCCCTACTGCTTGCTATCAGAATTATCTTTGGGCAGCCCTTTCTCCGTGAGTCACAATCTGTTATGCACTATTCTCTTAGTTCTATACTTTTCACTGCCTCCACCAATGCCTACCTGCCTTCTGCCATTCACACTACTGACCCGCCCCACAAATATCTGTTGTACCACTGCCTGAGCTTTCATTATGATAAAATTTCTAAAGATAATGATAAAATTTCTCTGAATTAGATATTAGTGGACTCGTTTCACCTTGAAGGAAGTCAAACATTTTACCCTAAGATACACTTTCTTGATATATTTTGAGATGGGTGTTGAGAGAACCAGCAAACCAAAGTAACCCTGTAAAGCTGCCTTTTGGTGGGGAGATTTGCAACTGTAGAGAAAATCTGCATTCATGCAGTCAGGCCTTCTCTGAGGGCCTTCTGTAGTCTGATCTAGGACCAAAGTTAACTGTGAATCTGATGCCTTTAAAGGTCTAAAAGAAACATTTACCATCTATTCTCTTTGAGGGCTGCTACATGTAAGGTTTCATCTACATAACAAGGCCACCTTTGCTAGCCAGGCCTTCTCTTCTCTTCCTCCCGTAGCCTGTCTTGTCACTGTAACCTGATTTACCCCAATAACCTGTTTTTGGCCATTCCAGAGCCTCCATTCTTTCTGTAGCCTCTAGCCTCAAGGTGGCATATGAGCTTCTGTACCCCAATGGAGGGCTTCGGGGTACTTTGTGTTTCCTCTCTCATGTGCATATTAATAAATTTGTGTGCCTTTTCTCCAATTAATCTGCCTTTTGTTAGTCGATCTTTCAGTGAACCTTCCTTCGGAGGGCAAAGAAGTTTTCCCTTGGCCCCTAAAACCTTTTATATTTTGGTAGAGATGGGGTTTTACCACATTGGCCAGGCTGGTCTTGAACGCCTGACCTCACATGATCTGGGTCTCCCAAAGTGCCGGGATTATAGGCGTGGGCCACACCCAGCCCAACTTGAATATGTTTATGTAAAATGGAGAAAGAGTCTTTGGAGAAGGAAAGATGAGAAAACAGGAAAAGAGGAAAACAGGAAAAGAGGGAAACAGTAATCAACAAAGGTCCCATGGGAGAAGGAAGGAATGTGGAATAAAGTAGAGGTGAAGGGATTCACTTGACAGTTTGATAAACTGGGAGAAAAGGGACTAATTGAACAAGGAGTGCGGTGAGAATTAAGTGATAAAGCAGGAAGAGCTGAGGTTGTGATCACACTTCCAATCAATATTAAATTCCTGGTAAGGAACAGTTCTGGATAATGGGACCACCAGGATGTGGCATGGAATGGGATTCCAAAGACTGTGGAAGAAGTTTGTTGAGGTCAGGAAAGACAGTTTTGGGTGTGGCAAACTCATTACATGGAAAGAAGCTCATGATGGCAATTAGGGTTGTGATCCTTTTGTTTCAACTCAGAACTGCCAAGTATTTGCTAGAATTGTCCTGTTTTTTTGTTTGTTTGTTTGTTTTTTCTACAAACTGGGAATCTGCTTGAACTAAACTGATGCTCAGCTGGATATAGTTTCCCTAAGTTAAGCATCAGCTTGCCATGTTAGCTAGCTTCATTCTCAGCTATAATGGTGCTTGCAGTCAAAACTCTACATACAGTTCATCATTGCTAAAGGTAACAATAGAGGATAATAACATGCTTTTATATTAGAAACTATCTAAGATATATTTTTGCCATGGATATATTTCACTTCTTTCATTAGACTGAGATGAGTAGTCTGTTTATTAAACATTGTGTGTACTATTTCTCTTTTTAGCATCCCAATGTGTTTGTTGGTTAACCAGCATCTTAGTCTTCTAGCAAGAAAGTTTCCAGAAACTAAATTTGTTACAGCCATCGTGAATAGCTGTATTCAACACTACCATGACAATTGTTTACCAACAATTTTTGTTTATAAAAATGGTCAGATAGAAGCCAAATTCATTGGAATTATAGAATGTGGAGGGATAAATCTCAAGTTGGAAGGTAATGTTATACATTTTGTTTATAAAAATAATAGGTGAAAACATCCACAAACTAACAAGTGTCCTGAAAGTTTACTTTCTTAGTATCAAGGTTTTTTTCCTTGCTTCTAGTCTCTTTTTGTATGCTTCCAGATTAATTTTCCTCCAGTAATACTCTAATAACACTCCCTTGCTTAAAATCCTTAACAGTCCTGTCTCAACTACGTTAAAATTTTAGAATCTTCTCCTTTAGAATCTCCACCCACTTCTCCAACTATATTTCTCAGTGCTTTCTAGTTTCTGTTCCTGTTAGGCTGGTTTTCAGCCACTATTCCCAAACATACACTACTCATTTGTGCCATCACAATTTTATACACATTCTCTGCTTGTACCTAACGTAGTCTACCTTTCTCTATTCTCTGTGTCCAAACTTTATTCCTTCATGAGTCTACTCAATTGTTGTTTACTTCATTATGTAATATTGGACCACTTCATAATCTTTTTCTTCTCTACTGAATTTCTATAGCCTATATTCTCAATACATCTTATTTTTCACTTATTAGCATGATATCTAATGTTGTTGATTAATCAATTCCCTTTGAATTTTATCTTCCTAAAAAGTGCAGGGACCATGGCTCCTATTATTTTATTTTTGTTAGCACACAGCACAAGACTTTATATTTTTATCATCTTCGTTTTTACTTCCTGAGGCTATTTCTTTGATCTATTCATTTTTTGTTATTGCTTTAACTCTTTTACGAAACTAAAAATCTTTTTCTCTCACCATTGTGTTAGAGCCATCATGAATGGCTGTTTTCGGTTTTTGTTGGTTTCATTTTTTTGAGACAGTCTTGCTCTGTCACTCAGGCTGGAGTGCAGTGGTGTAATCTTGGTTTACTGCAATCTCTGCCTCCCGGGTTCAAGCAATTCTCCCTGCCTCAGCCTCCTGAGTAGCTGGGATTACAAGTGCCAGCCACCATGCCCAGCTAATTTTTGTAATTTTTAGTAGAGATGGGGTTTCACCATATTGCCCAGGCTGGTCTTGAACTCCTGACTTCAGGTGGTCCACCTGCCTCACCCTCCCAAAGTGCTGGGATTATGGGCGTGAGCCACTGTGCCCAACCAGCTGTTTTCAATTCGTATTCTTTTCATTCTGTCACTCCCTCAAAATTGTTTATGGCCTTACCAAGACCTCGAATACTTTAATTATTTCAGAATTGTCCCATTTTTCTTTTAGTCTCCTAAGGCCTCTCCTTGTTTTACCACCTTGTTTTTGTAGCTTGGACCTTCACTTTTTAATAAAAAAAAATTAACTATATAAGAGTACATAAAAGAATACATAGAATAATAATATAGCAAGCATTCATGAAATTATTATTATCTTAGTTTGGGATACTATAATAAAAATACTATAAACTGGGTGGCTTATAAACAAGAAAACATATTAATATCTAACAGTTCTAGAGGTTGGGAAGTCCCAGATCAAGGTCCCACCAGATTTGGTGTTTTGTGAGGACCTGTTCTTCATAGATGGTGACCTCTTCATTGACCTCACATGGTGGAAGGGACAAACGAGCTCCTTTTGGCCTCTCTTTTCACTTATTTCATTGATGAGTGCTCTGCCCTCATGGTTTAATCACTCCCAAAGTCTCTACCTCTTAATACTGTCACCTTTGGGATTAGGATTTCAACATACGAGTTTTGAGGAGACACAAACATTCAAGACCATAGTAATTACCAAAAATAACAAATATGAACATTTGTTTACGCTTGGTTTAGCTATTTTTTTGCTTATTTTTTGAGACAGCATCTTACTCTGTCACCCAGGCTGGAGTACAGTGGCACGATTATAGCTCATTTAAAGCTTTGACTTCCCAGGCTCAAGTGATCCTCCCACTTTAGTCTCCTGAATAGCTAGGACTACAGGTGCATGCCACTACACCTAGCTAATTAAAAAAAAATTTTTTTTTTGTAGTAGAGATGGGGTCTACATATATTACCCAGGCTGGTCTCAAACTCCTGGGCTCCAGTGATCCTCCTGCCTTTGCCTCCCAAAGTGCTGAGATTACAAGTGTGAGCCACCATGCCCGGCCTGTTTGCTTATCTTTAAAAACACATTACAGATAAAGTTGAAGTTACTCATATTTCCATTCTTATTCCTGTTCCCCTCCCTGTTTCCTTAGGGGCAAAAACTATCATGAATTTGGTATGTATCTGGTCCCCTTTTGTGTGTGTGTATGTGTGTGTGTGTGTGTTTGTGTGTGATCAATGAAATTTGTTGGTGTATTTTAAACATTGTGGTAGAATACATATAACAACATTTACATCTTAACTATTTTTAAGTATACAGTTCAGTGGCATTAAGCAAATTCACATTCCATCACCAGAAGTCTTTCCATCCATCTCCAGAAGTCTTTTCATCTTAAATAACAAACTCTGTACTCATTAAACAATTAACTCCTCAGTCTCCAACTTCTTCAGCCCCAGGCAGTCACCATTTTAGATTCTGTCTCTATGAATCTGACAACTCTAGATATCTCATATAAATGGAATCATGTAGTATTTGTCCTTTGTGACTTATTTCACTTAGCATAATGTCCTCAAGTTTCATCCATGTTCTAGCATGTTACCAGAATTTTTTTCCTTTTTAAGTACACCTTGTGTATCCCTTCATCTGTTGATTAAGGGATATTGTGAGTAATGCTGTTATGAACACGTGTGTACAAAAAATATGCCCATCTCCGTATTTAATTACTCTGGGAATATACACAGAAATGGAATTGCTTGATGATACGGTAATTCTATTTTTAATTTTTAAAGGAACTATCGGTCTATATTGTTATGTTTTAACTTAAATATATCTATAAAAATAGAAGGAATAATTAATTGCAAATTTGAAAGTATTTAATAAAGGGCATTATATTGTATGATTCTGCAACTTGCTTTTTTTTTTTTTTTTT